CCTGAAGAGGAAGGCCAGTGGAAGATTGTATATCTGAGAGAGCCAGGAGGCTGAATTTTGTTCATGTGGATGATCGATACCCCTGTGTGGGAAACTTCTGTTTTGATTTCATTCTTTAATTTAAATAAAAGTGGGCTAAAAAAGGCCTTAAAAAAGAGAGCGAGTAGCTGTGTGCGTTTAAAAGCTCTACCACTTTGAAGCGAGTTCCCACATATATATATATATATATATATATATATATATATATATATATATATATATGATCTTCTTTGCATTCTGCAGATTTAGAGTGAAATAAGTGAAGGAGTGAAGAAGAAATGCTTCCAAACTTCTCTTATACTTCTCACTGGGAGATCTTTAACATCTCCCTACTGGCACTCAGAGCGATAATGGTAATATGAATGGGGTGATAAGGGTGTGCCCGGGTACATCCAGCATAGTCTTTGCACACACCTATGGGTAGAGATTACCTAGCATAATGCCTACTGGCTATGTGAACCAGGTGGATGCAGAGTCACAAGGTGGCTCAGGATTTGGTGAGGCACAAAGGAAGACTGTAACAAATATGGGGCTCAACAATGAAATGGACAAGCTTTGTATAGGCATACATCCACAAGTGTGCTGGTCCATTACGAATGCAGAGTTATCCACACTGTGATGCAGATTCACCTTATTGGCAGTAGCTATGATATTCTGGGTAAAAACCCATGTACACAGCTGTGTACCATAGGAGACATGCCCTGGAGCAGGGAAAATAAGTACTTACTATTGAGGTATTTAGTCCAAAACAATCCTCAAAATGTTCACAACAGATACTGCTTATAGTACAGCAGAGAAACAGATTGGCAGCTCCTGAAACTATAACCTTATATATTTTAAAAGAAACCTATTTTTTCTTTATAAAAAGCTTTTGTTAAACTGACTGTGTATAGTAGTTTGTCAGATCTTTTGTAAAACACAAAGAGATCTCTATTTTAGTCGATATAGCATAGCTTGTAATTCAGTGAGTTTTTGCTTTATATTGTCAGCACCTGAACCTGAAAAAGGCATGCATTTTGACAAAATAATAGCTTCAATTTTTCTCAAAGAACCAGTGTTAAGTGTACTGATTTTTTTGGAGATAGAATGTCAGCCACTGTGACTAAAACAGCAAAGTGTTTTTTTACTAAATATTTTTTTATTTGAAAGAACACAAGGTAGTACTATGTGCATCATATAAAAAATTAACAACATAAGCACTGGGGTTTAACAGTGTAGGGAAGATTGTTTTATCATCCCAGATGTAACTTTAACAGTCAGTGGTAGACTTTGTTACTATCTTAAAGTTTCTGGTCAATAAAATGCATATGTCCTGGGTAGTAGGAGGACAGGACACAATGGAGTTGATTCATTAAAGGCAAATAGAGTGTGCTCTTTGCAAAGGCAGTTGCTCTAGAGCTCGGTAAATGAGGAGAAACTCTGCTGACTTTCATCATCCAAACATGTGCCAGCAAAAATACTGTTTTTTTTTTTTAATTTCCTTGCATGTGATTGGGTATTATTTCCAAAGTGAAGTTTCACCTAATTTACTAAGCCCTGAAGCAACTGCACTTGCACAGTCTATTTGCCTTTAGTATATACAGTTGTGTCCAAAATTATTCAACCCCCAATGCTGTAAAGGGGTTTAGGGACTATAGTGTACATTTGGAATTGTATTCAGAATCAAATCCTACAAGGACGTTGTAACTACCCAAATGCAACTAAAATGACATCAATTGTTTATGTAATACAGTAGTAAATGGTTCTTATGTGGTTTCTTCATTGCCACAATTATTCAACCCCTTAAAGACTACCACTCTGAAGAACAGAGGTTCATACAGGTGCTTTCCATCAGGTATTGAAAACACCTGTGGATGTCACCGAGCAGCAATCAAGCATAATAAGCACCAATTAGGCAGCTTTAAAATGACTGTGATACTCAGCTCCTTCTAGACATTTACTGGTGTGGTTACAAACATGGTGAAGGCAAGAGAATGGTCCAGGAAGACAAGAGAAGAGGTGATTTCTCTTCACAGGAAGGGCAATGGCTATAAGAAGATTGCAAAGATGTTAAACATACCAAGAGACACCTTAGGAAGCATCATTCGCAAATTCAAGGCAAAGGGCACTGTTGAAACGCTACCTGGTCGTGGCAGAAAGAAGATGCTGACTTCGACTGCTGTGCGCTACCTGAAGCGTAGAGTGGAGAGAGAAGTCCCCGTGTGACTGCTGAGGAACTGAGAAAAGATTTGTCAGATGTGGGTACAGAAGTTTCAGCCCAGACAATAAGACGCACACTGCGTAATGAAGGCCTCCGTGCCAGAACTCCCAGGCGTACCCCCTTGCTGTCTCCAAAGAATAAGAAGAGTCGACTGCAGTATGCCAAAAGCCATGTGGACAAACCACAAAAGTTGTGGGATAGTGTTCTGTGGACTGATGAAACAAAATTAGAACTGTTTGGGCCCATGGATCAACGCTATGTTTGGAGGAGGAAGAACAAGGCCTATGATGAAAAGAACACCTTGCCTACTGTGAAGCATGGTGGAGGGTCAATCATGCTTTGGGGCTGTTTTGCTTCTGCAGGTACAGGGAAGCTTCAGCGTGTGCAAGGTACCATGAATTCTCTTCAGTACCAGGAGATATTGGATGGAAACGTGATGCAGTCCGTCACCACACCCTGAGGCTTGGGAGACGTTGGACCTTTCAACAGGACAATGATCCCAAGCATACCTCCAAGTCCACTAGAGCATGGTTGCAGAGGAAAGGCTGGAACATTTTGGAGTGGCCATCGCAGTCACCAGACTTAAATCCGATTGAGAACCTCTGGTGGGACTTAAAGAAAGCAGTTGCAGTGCGCAAGCCTAAAATGTGACTGAACTGGAGGCCTTTGCCCATGAAGAATGGGCGAAGATACCCGTAGATCGCTGCAAGACACTTGTGTCAAGCTATGCTTCACGTTTAAAAGCTGTTATAACTGTAAAAGGATGCTGTACTAAGTACTAAGATTGAATGTCACTTGGGGGTTGAATAAAACTGATAATGCTGTGAGCACAGAAAAGACATTTGTGGTTATTTCATTATAACTGTTATGTTATATTTGTCTGACCTACAAGTGCCTCTTTTAATGTAAATGTAAGCAAGATGACTGAATGATCAAAAGCAATGTCAAACTGGCCAAAACACTCAATTTCAGTGGGGGTTGAATAATAATTTTGGACACAACTGTAAACCCCAATAAGTTCATCATACAAATGCTTGTTAATACCACACTTGCTGAACACAATCAAATGTCTAGTTACGCAGCTGTGGAAATTACAATACCTACCTATTATTTGAGATTGGTTCTACTAAATACTATATAAAAAAATTATATATATCTACAAATATGTATATACGTGCCGCGCTCCATAGTATACATATAAACTCATATATTAGTGATTATATAAATAATAACGTGAAAAAATTGGTGTGCTTCAAACCAGCGCACCTTGTGATGCTATTGCAAAATAATACTAATCCAATACTCATAAATAGTCCTCTTTATACTTTTATAACTTTTCAGTGGAACCAGTTGGCTGTGCAGGACAGACTGGGGAGCAACTAAACCATCTTGTTAGAATACAAATCTGCGTCTGGGGTTATTGTTTTCCCCCTGATGAAGCCACGTGACCCTGTGGCGTAACGCGTAGGGGAGGGGCTCTGATGTCACGATGCCACAGTGGACGAGCGGCATTCACAAGCACAGGATCTGGGGCATATACCTGCTGAATACAGCTCTGTTGAACACTACAAAATGTGAGTGGTGACTTTACTCTATAAATAAAAGATTGAACCTCACAAAGGATAAGGCACTATTGTGGCTCTCTTTTACATGGTCCATTGAGAGGAGGAAATACCATCCAAATCATTTCTAACCATCCATTGAGGCTAAAGTGTGGAAGGAGGAATAAGGGAGACCTCTGGTGGCAGAAATAAGGCAATCCACAGCATGGATGAAAACACGTATATAGTGTGAAGATTTCCACCCTGTCCTGATAAGGACAAAAAGTGTTTTTAAGCCACTTTGTCTGGCTAAATAAGGAGGTGAGCTCACACCTATCTATAGAGCACGGGAAGTGTGGCACGAATCACCTTACTTGTCACTGAAAAGTTATAAAAGTATAAAGAGGACTATTTATGAGTATTGGATTAGTATTATTTTGCAATAGCATCACAAGGTGCACTGGTTTGAAGCACACCAATTTTTTCACGTTATTATTTATATAAAATCACTAATATATGAGTTTATATGTATACTATGGAGCGTGGCACGTATATATATATTTGTAGATATATATAATTTTTTTATATAGTGTATGTTTTGCACAGGTAATGAGTATTGTGTAAAGTGTTGATGCACCATAATTTGATATATATTTTTGTCTGTTAAATTATTTATTGCACTAAGGGATTATCACATTTTGGCTCACGGGTATTATTAATTATATTGGTTCTATTAAATAAATTTGATGCACAATATGGAACAGCTAATTCACCGTAACCAAAATAACATGGCCCTCTTTCTCCAGATGTGGGCTACCTAGCATATTTTCAAATACATTCCCACATAAAAACATGAACCCTACTCTTTAACTGCCTAAACTGGACCGATCAGAAGGCACTTCTTGGCAATGGCCAATATATCCCCTATTTTTTGCTCCAAAAGATGCACTTTTTTCCTCCCAAAAAATGGGGGAAAATGTCTGTGCATCTTTTGGAGTTGCCGGCCCAGTATTTCCGCCACCGCCGTGTCAGAATACCGGGCCGGCCGCTCGGCTCTTCTCTGCAGCAGAACCTTACCTGTTCCTTGGGCCAGCGGTGTCCTTACGATCTTCTTTCCCAGCACAGACATCTTTAGTGTGGGCACCCGGCTGTGACAGCTTGCGGCAGTCTATGGTCATCTCCTGTAGTATGTCCGCAGTCTCTGGTCATCGCCTGTAGTATGTCTGCAGTCTCTGGTCATCTCCTGTAGTGTGTCCACAGTCTCTGGTCATCTCCTGTAGTGTGTCTGCAGTCTCTGATCATCTCCTGTAGTGTGTCCACAGTCTCTGGTTATCTCCTGTAGTATGTTCGCAGTCTCTGGTCATCTCCTGTACTATGTCTGCAGTCTCTGGTCATCTCCTGTACTGTGTCCACAGTCTCTGGTCATATCCTGTACTGTGTCCACAGTCTCTGGTCATATCCTGTACTGTGTCCACAGTCTCTGGTCATATCCTGTACTGTGTCCACAGTCTCTGGTCATATCCTGTACTGTGTCCGCAGTCTCTGGTCATCTCCTGTAGTTTGTCCGCAGTCTCTGGTCATCTCCTGTAGTTTGTCCGCAGTCTCTGGTCATCTCCTGTAGTATGTCCGCAGTCTCTGGTCATCTCCTGTATTATTTCCGCAGTCTCTGGTCATCTCCTGTACTGTGTCCATAGTCTCTGGTCATCTCCTGTAGTGTGTCCGCAGTCTCTGGTCATCTCCTGTAGTATGTTCACAGTCTCTGGTCATTTCCTGTACTATGTCTGCAGTCCATTGGTTCAGAATATTTTTTTTCTTGTTTTTTCCTCCTCTGGTGCTTCCTATGGTCAGGTGCGTCTTATGGAGTGAAAAATATGGTTCTTCTTACTCAGCACTCGATCATCTGCTACTAAAACTAGAGAAAGACAGCACCTCAGCCCCTGCAAAAATACCCACAGAGATATGTATATTAAGCACAGTGATCTCCACCACATCTTCCATCTTAGAACATCAAGCATACCCCCTACCTCCACCCTGACCATTTGCTCTGCCCTCTAATCCACCAAAAACACACATTCCTAAAACCTATTATAGCCACCTATACCACTAGAAATCCCTGAAACATCCCTCCCTTACCCACATATCCTACCCTATTTTCTATCCCCCTTGATTCCACACTTCCCTAATTATTCGAATACCTTGATTTCCTATGACAAGACTCTGCCACCCAGCGTACACCATTCATGACCCTCAAATGGGTCTCACCTGGAGAGCCTGATGAGGAGGGGTTATGTTGAATAAGGGTTCCCTTTGGTTTATGACATCCCCAACACTTGTCTGGACTGTCTGCAGATATGTCATATAGCCCTGTGGGGGTTCAGTACCACTGGGACCTGAGATTATAATTGGTCTCCTGGATATTCACATTAATAAAACTTTTAAATGATGTGTTGCTATGTTCCCTTTCTTCAGCTGTAATATTTTGGTTAAGGTCAGTTTCCTATTCTTGGGAATATGGTAGATTTTTTGTGTTGCAGGTTGAGAGATTCTAGCATACATTTTTTTTATATCAAATGGGGGGGTTGGGTCAGGGTCTGGTGAGCAGCAAAGTATTTAAAAACCAGACATCTATTTTCCTTGAAAAGTCTAATGTTTCGTATAGTGAGTTTTCAAATTAATCTCCTCAGTTCCTTGGAATACACGTTTTAATTCTTGTTTTTTTATTTTTATTCTTAGCATATGACCTTTAGAATTAGCAGTTAGCTACTAACATATATTTATGTGTATTCACCAAAAAATGCTACTTTTACTATACTGGCTATGGATGTAGACAGAAGTATGGTGACAGCTCTAGATCTCTTTATAATGCTAAGGTTTTGGTTGGATGCAGGGGCGGACTGACCATTTGGAAACTCGGGCAATGCCCGAGGGCCCAGGGTCAGTAGGGGGCCCCATGAGAAGCCCCTGGTACTTTTTTCATAGGCTTTTTTGAGTTTGGGCAAGGACACAGGGGCCCCATGATCCCCTATTGCCCGGGGGCCCCATGAGTTGTCAGTCTGCCCCTGGTTGGATGAATTGTTGGCATGCAACCAGTTCCACAAACAGCCCTCTAAAGCTCAGGGAACCATAATTATGTTCTTGTAATAACATGCTTGAAGAATAAGGAAAACAGCACAGCTCCAAAAGTATTTGTTTAGAATAAACTTTATTTGTTGTTACATTCAAACTTTTACTGAACGCAACAACCAATAAAATTAATTCAGTACAAATAGGCCCTCTCTCTTCCTTATTCCACTATAATTATAGAAGCAGATAGTAAAGTCACGAACCTAAACTGAAACAAGCTAAGAAAAAAAAAAAAAAATACAGCTTTTAGTACACTAAGTTTAGAAATACACTTTCAGCTCCTTGAAATTTATCACCTTGTTCCCAGTGCCATCATAAAGTAATATTGGGTATTTGTCCCAAAGCTCTCCAGCACCTTTTTAACATAGTGCCTGGTATCAGTGATTTCTTCGGGCCATATCAGCATTACCATCAGCTGTCAGTTATTTCTAGGACTCATAGTTAAGCCCTGGAGCTATAATTGTCAGTTTCTGGGGGTCTAATCTTATTACACAGTGATCCATAGGAGCACTTGTAATAGATCACTGAGAACACAATGATTTTGCATTGTGTTTACATAGGAAGGGATGTGACATCATATGTAATGCCACATAACTTCCTATGAGTATGGAGGCCAAGGGAAATCTGTTTCAGCTCGGCCCAGCTTTTTCTGCAGTAATTGATCACTGCTATAGTGATCTATTGACTCCTGATTACAGTCAAAAATATATCACTATTAGAAGTGCTTTATGCTTTATTGCTACACAGCTACATGGGGGAAGGGGAAATCTGGCTCTGGTCCCCATTGATCAGATCAGGATCCCCCCAAAACAAAACAAACAAAACAAACTGTGCAAGAATCAAATGGTCACATTAGTGGGCAAAATGCTAATTAAACTTGTACTGATCACAAGCCTGTGAAAAACTGTTGTGCTATTTTTTCCCTCCCATCCATATAGAAAAAAAACCCATAATTTGTGTTCTGAAGGAGTGCCAATGCACTTCACCCCTGTGGACTACTACTGTATACAGAAAACCAATTTCCGAAGTCAGAGATGGTAAATAGGAATTATGGGGATGCCTTCAATGTGGCAACAAATACACATGTGCTTCAGAAACAAAGCAATCACCCACAGCAAATGTTAATATTAATGAACCAACAAGATTTGTCACATGACCTCACTTACTTGATTCACTCATCCCTGGTGCCTTTGCTAGAAATTTTTAGGTGATGGCAAATGTTAAAAATTCAAAAGCTGAAAATGGTGTATAATATAATGTAGAAATAAATGCCATATAACCAACGGCCATCAAAATGTATGCTAGCTAGCACCCAGCCCATTTGTTTACATTCAGTCACCAGTAGCTGAACTCGTTATTTAGTTCACATATACAGCAAACTGTAAACTAAAATTTGTGTCTCATTGTACTTGGCTACAAACTGGAATATCATCCATATTTGGACACTGCACACATTTGCAGATGTAATCTTACAAGTAACAAAATGTCTGCATGCTTCTTGAAACTGGGAAACGCAGGGTTTTTTTTTTTTGAATAATTACAGAGAATGGTGAAGCAGATAGAATGACCTGCCAATTAAGCAAGCCATACAAAGATCAAAAGTTGGCCAGTTTAGCAGGGACCTGCCATATTTTCCATCCTGGTATGGAAAGGGTGGTTGTAAAGAAGTCAATCTACTGATTGACTTCTATACAACCTTCTTGATGTGTTTTTTTTCCACTCAATTAGTGCTGCTGGCTAGAGCAGCAGCACTAAACAGTGTATTTTGATGGTGGGCAAGTCTCCCCGCTGTTGGAATACAGTAGTACAGTGGGATGCCTCCCCCCATCTATCTCCAATATGTGGATGGGGTAATCAAGTCAGTTATACTCTGCAGAGCTCAGTGAGGAGAGCTCTGAGAGCTGATTGGAGGGAAGGGACACACCCCTCTCTGCACAGTTCAAAGGAACAGAGCTGAAGCTGTCAGTTTGGTGAAGCTCCCTCTCCTGTCACCATTTTTCTCTTGGTGTCAGGAAAACTTGTCAAGTTTCATGCTGATAGCAGATGAAAGAAGTAGCAGCCAGAAATGACTCAGTGCTCTTAATTGAGACAAGAACACACTATAGAGGAATATGCTTTATTCATATTTCATGTCTGAGGTTTACAACCATATACCCACAAACTAAAGTCATGGAATGTTATTTGGAAAGGTTTAAATTCCGGTTCACCATTTTTTTTATAAATGTCAAGCAATTGTTCTCTATATTTAGCACAAAAAAACCCATTTTACTATAAATTTGATTTTGCAAATAAGATATTCAGTAAGACTGTAGGGACTCTTTATACAAATTGCTATAAGTATATGTCATTAAAATCTAATCTTTGTTGAATTACTTAAAAGTGGAACTTTAGCCATAAAAAAATGATAAAAAATAATGTTCTTTCACAAGAAACATACATTCTACATTAATAATTCTGCTACCAAAATAAGTGCAAGCTGCAAATTGCCTTCGCATTGTTCCTGTTTCTTCTTGCTGGAAGCTGCCATTTTGCTGAAGCCCAGAGTCCTAAGCAGCAGTAAATATTTGTGCTGTCAGCAGACTGACCTTTACAAATTAGGCACAGTGCCTAAAAATAGAGCAACTGAGCATGTGCAGAGCAGGGTGAGATGGTATATTACTGGATTTTAAACTGTATAGGCACTGTTTTTTGTATTTTAAAATTATTTTTATTGAGTTTTACAAAAAAGGCGGACCATACACAAAAATTCCACATTTAAGTGTTTAAAAGTGCATCTATCACATTGGCAACATAGGCAATAAAATTTTTTATATTGAATTAAGATGGGTCAGACTCATCCCAAAATGAACATTAGTGGAATACTACATCATTAATAATCATTTAAGCTAGATTATTCTATATAATACATATAATCAAAATCAGTAACCTTAACATCAAATTGGTGCCCCAGGCTGGACCTAACCCCCCCACCCCCCCCCCCCCAAAAAAAAATGTAGCTGGTGTAATAATGTAGATGTCAGGGATCGCCACGATCCCCGCCGCGATGGTCCCGGCGCAGGCGCAGTATGCTGCCCTGTGCAGGGACGCAAGCTCGAGGTCCGGGCCGGCCGCGGCGCGCGAGTTTGCGCATGCGCAGTAGAAGCCGCGGCCACCCGCTGGGCACCAATGGCAGCGCAGGGCGCGATATTTAAACGGCCCTGAGCTGTCATTTGGTGCCTTCTGGTCTTATCCTAACCTGCATCCTGTATCCTGTACCCAAACCTGTTCTAGTAAGTTGCTGACCCGGATTGTGACTGACCACTGCTGTATTCTCCTTCCCAGACCCTTGCTTTGCCTGACCTCTCTCCTGAATGCCCCCTATTGGATTTGACCTGCTGTTGCTGACCTAGCGTGTGACCCGACCATTCTATGCCCGCTGCCTTGTACCTTACCGTCCTCTCTGTTACCGACCCGGCCCGTCTGACCTTGCTCATCCATCCATCCATCCGCCCATCCCTCGCAATGGGGTCTTCTGACCTCCT